AAGAAGTAGGAAGTAAGAATAAGAAATTGACCAACCACAGTCGAATGTGAGAAGAATAATCAACTATGATTGGTCAATTTCTTAATCTTAGTTCCTACTTCTTACTACTTACTTCCAATTTAGGCTGCGTTCCGAAATTCACTGCTAGTACTGAAAATCTATAGTTTATGTTACGTATACTATAGAATTTTAACACTGGCAGTAAATTTCGGAACGCAGCCTTAAGGGACGTCTACATTGGAAGTAAGCAGTAAGAAGTAGGAAGTAAGAATAAGAAATTGACCAATCATATTTGATTATTCTTCTCACATTCGACTGTGGTTGGTCAATTTCTTACTCTTACTTCCTACTTCTTGCTATTTACTTCCAATGTAGACATCCCTTTAAACATCCCTTAAGCCCATTCTACAATTGCGTAAGCGTAGTCGTGAACGTAAGAGTCAACCAATCCGAATGTTTTATTCACTGATTGCTTTACTCTGATTGGTTGTCGTAATCACTTACAACCACTTACAACCACGTTCACGCAATTGTAGAATGGGCTTTAAGCGTCGTCTACAATATGCGGAGTAAGCTTGGAGTAAGAAGTAAGCCGTAAGAATTAACCAATCATAGACAATTATTTTTATAATTTTTATAAACTACGATTGGCAAAAATACTTTATGCTTCGTCCAGATATTCCTACGTCCATGGTGTAACATAAACTATAGTTTTTTAGTGCTGGCAGTGAATTTTGGAACACAACCGTCGTAACATCTCCAAGGTGCGTTCAGATTCCCTACCCGAGTGCATCTGTTACTAGAAACACTATAGTATATGTTACATGTACTATAGCACTTCTAGTAATAGAATACACCCGGGTAGGGAATCTGAACGCAGCCCAAGGGTGCGTTCAGATTCCCTACCCGGGTGCACTCTGTTACTAGAAACACTATAGTATATGTCACATATACTATAGCACTTCTTGTATTAGAGTGCACCCTGGTAAGGAATCTGAACGCAGCCCAAGATGATTTACCAAATTCCGACAATTCAAAATTATCACAAATATATCATCTGCTATTAACACTTTGTTAACGCAGAAAAAAATTATTGACTCTATTTTTATTATTGTTGAACGGCAATTTATACAGTTAGAACTTGGTGTTGGCAATTCTGCTGATTATTCATCGATTAATTTGGTTAAAAACTGTGTTCGCGGCAAACGTCTTCCTGAGATAACACACAGCCAATAAAATAGACCCCACGTGCCGGAGGAGCACCAGGAGTATCCAACTGCCACTGACGCGCTCCACTAGCATAGTGTATTCGAAAGGGGAGTCAGCCATCTGCTTCAGCCGCAGCCGAAGCCACGTCATATTTGTGTGCTGCTGGAGAGCCGAGTTACGCGAGCTGTCGCTTTCGCGTTTTTTTTACATAGAATTACGTTTCCGCGGGCGCAGATATGAATATATTTCGGCTTTTAGGCGACCTGTCGCATCTCCTAGCCATTATTATACTTCTCTTGAAGATATGGAAGACGCGGAGCTGCGCCGGTGAGTGCCGCCCACTGTCCGTGTAGTTTTTACACGGTGGACGCAGCGCGTCCCCGCTGCATAAACTGCAGCGGATGAACGTGCCGATCGACCTATAGAATGGACTGCGTAACGCTAGTTGAAAGTGCGTCTCAGTGTGGAAAAAGGACAATACAAGTATGCGGCCAATATGTCCTATTGATAGAAAGACTCCTGGATCCTGTTTCATATGCGAACAATGTAAGGGATAGCGCAGTCCATACTATAGGTCGATGAACGCACCGATGTATTACGATCGAGCGGCCTGGGTCGACGTGTCCAACGGCAATCACCAATGTCTCGTTCATTTGTAGGTATCAGTGGCAAGTCGCAGATTCTCTTTGCAATTGTTTATACCAGTCGTTACCTAGACCTGGTAACGACATTCATTTCGGCATATAATACAGTTATGAAGATCGTATTTATTGCAACGTCGCTCGCCACAGTATTTTTGATGTATGTGAAATTCAAAGCTACATATGATCATAATCATGACACATTCAGGTGAGTATACTATACTCTGAGTCCCAGTTCTATAGCTGACACTAACTTAGGTTTAACTGGCTAAAGGTTTATCCAAACAAATTTGTATAATGATAATTTGTGCATATGATTCATATGCACAAAGTGACTAATATAAAATATGTCCTCTTACTGCATAGCCCATGACTGGTTGATTTCCTTGTGCATATGCAGTATGTAATTATGATAATATGTAAACCAATTTCTATGGATAGACCTTTAAGTTATACTCCAGTTAAAGCAAGTTGTGTCAAGCCTGAATATGCTCAAGCATTGGCTCGCTCTTAACTCATAGTGATGGATGAATTGTCGCAGGATTGAATTCCTGATATTACCTACATTTGTGTTGGCACTGCTGATCAATCATGAACTATCCTTCGTGGAGGTCTTGTGGACGTTCAGCATTTACCTTGAGTCAGTGGCAATACTGCCACAGTTATTCCTGGTGTCAAAGACAGGAGAGGCAGAGAGCATCACCAGTCATTATCTGTTCGCGCTGGGATCATATAGAGGCCTGTATCTGTTCAATTGGGTATACCGCTACTATGCTGAGGATCATTACGACTTGATTGCTATAGTCGCTGGATTGGTACAGACGGTTCTATATTGTGACTTCTTCTACCTCTATATTACCAAAGTACTCAAAGGCAAGAAGCTACAATTACCTGCTTAGCTTCTGTTCTGAGTATTGTCCTTTCGTATCGAAGGAACATTCGACTGCCCGTTTTTCTACTGGCGTCGCCCGTAAATCCAAGATCAACTCCGGCGATCCTAGAGACTCGAAGAATACGCACTCGCGAGTGTACGTTAAGTACGGTTTCGCTAAGTACGGAGTATCTCGCAGCATCGTCCCGCCTTCCGTAACACTTCCTTCCCCAGCCCCATGTATCCATCCCCTTGGGCGATGTTTGCTTTCCGCGTGTCGCAGGACGATGTTCTAAGTTATGTCGATTCTTTCGTACTTCATTTGTATCATATGCGTTATTACGAGGCATGAACCGGACACCTGTCAGTACATGTCATTTACATGTCAGTGCAGTTTAATTTATATAAATTCAAGAAATTTTAGACGACATTGTTGGGAAAAAAACAAGAAAGATATATATATAGAAAAAGAGAAATTTTCATTTATATTTACAGTTTATATTGTTGTAACTTTCAGTAAGTAAATATAGTGATAATGGTACCAATATATCTTATAAACTGACGCATTGATTGGAAGATCCGCATTGTTGATTTGTGCCATTCACGAGCAACACGTAGCGATGTATTCTACCAAATTGGCGACCTGGACTGGCTCCTTCAGAGCTATTGAAGGATCCTCTACATGTACGATGCCATTCTTGAGACTAGTCCTATCCACAGACACGACAAATGGTATCAAGCACATCTCTACGACTTGTTCTGTGCTCGCCAATATGGTACGGATCCCGTTTGACCTGAGCATGTTGTTCAAATACAACACAAAGCGATTCAAGTCCTCTAAATCCGATGAAGTTTCGTTCTCTTGTTTTTCTATGCGAAACGTCGTTTTGTAAGGCGATAACTTAGGATGAATATACGCTCTAGTTGATTTGCCCGACATGTAACTATCGCAGAGCAGAGCCAGACAGCCCCAATCTAAAGAGGCGACATGCTCGACCATATGCACGTCCGCGACATTATCTTTACTACCTTCAGTCTGTAAATAAATAATCCATTTAAATAATTCCTTCTCTCTAGTTGTATCGCTGCGTCACCAATATCTCACTTAGAAAAGAGCTGTGTTACTGTACCTGAGGATATAATTTGCGTGTAACGGGATAATGGGCGATCGTCTCGACCGTGATGTTGCCGAAAGGAAACCGTGCCTGTATTTCCGTCACGTCGAGACCCTTTACTTTCTTTGCCTCGGCGAACACGAATCTCGAGGGATATTGGGCGAATTTGCGCCACCATACCTTGCGCTCTCTCTGTTTGTTGTGCAACAGGTTCCTCGAGTCCAATACGTCAGCAATCACATTGAGCTTCGCCGTTCTATGCGACGTCACTCGATAGCCAGTGTCGTTCAATAGAGACTCGTTCCATGCTACATTTTTGGTCGTCGTGAGCATGGCGAGCGCGAACGGCATATCCTTGTCCATGGAGAAGCTCTGTAACTGTTGCAACGTGTCAGTGATCGAGCTGTCGCACGGGAACACGTTGTAAGGTGGCATCGTGACACAATGCATGAACCAATATTCCTCGAGGTTCCTTAACAATAATCTGCCCTGAGGTCCGTACGTGAAGCCACGCTCCGACAGTGTGAGAAAGCACGGGCTCACAATCCTCAGTACAGCTTCCAGACTCATTCTTTTGAGCTAGGCTTGCTTTTTGCTGGGCATAAAACCAAATTCAACATATTATCATGGATATTAGTCATTGAAATTGTAAGCAAAACTGATAAAATTTATAGACTTTACATATTTGCAAAAAATATCTTGCAAATTAAGTATAAAGAGTTACAATTGTACATTGAATCAAATGCACACAAAATTATAAAATGCTATCTATAATTGTAATTTTATGAAATATACTTGGGTCTTTACTGAATATCTTCTGTGTTAAATTTAAAAACATCAGTATATATTTTAAACATTAATACTATTATATCTCAAGATATAATCATAATGTAACTTCGAATCAAATAGAATCATGACATCTTTGATTGCAGTACAGAAAGTTTTGGTTATATATTAAATGTATTTTAATAAATAATATTATTTTCAAAGTATTCATAAAAGATTTCAAAACTGATATCATTGGCTATACTCAGCAGAGAAAGTTGCTTTATAACTTTGTGAGAAGTTGTAAAATTTGTGAATCTGCTTAGTGTATGCTCTTAATCTTAGCTGAATCTAAGAACTATAACGATCAGATTCACGAATCTTACAATAATTGCAAAATAGTTTTTTCTGTTGAGCACTATTATAGGTTATATCAGTATTACATAGAATATACTTGATCTTATATTTACTTGTCACTAAAGGTGCCACAAAGTATTCTTCCTCCAGCACCGATGCATTCTTCAGAATCTCACGCCGGCGGTTGATATCATGTGGTAGCGCTATGTCGTCCCGTAAGTGAATATACTCCTTCTCCAGGGTGCTATACATGGGACGCACTGCCTCGTCGATGTGAACTCGTCGCAGTCGTTCAGCAAACGCGACTGCTTCCTCCAGCACTCGCTTGCTTTGTTTATACTCGAAGCCGACTAATGCAAGCTTCTCGATCCTTCGAATCGTCGTTTCGTCGATAGTTACAGATGATCCGGATTCCAGCTGCTTGTTATCAAATTTGGTCTCCACCGGTTGCACCTTTACTCGTGTCTTTGTCGAGGCGCAGTATGTTTTGAAAGATGTAATTGCGTTAGATCGACAAACAATAACATTTACAAATGTTCTGTAGGTTAACCGGGTTCGTCGTAACACGTCCATGCTTAACGTAGGTCTGCTCTCTCTCTCTCTCTCTCTCTCTCTCTCTCTCTCTCTCTCTCTTTTTAGCTGAACTATCTAAACTGTGAAATAAGTTAGAGTGAAATAAATGTTTTCTCAATGCGTATATACATAGACCAAGCATTGGCTACGTTCAGAAAACATAGCTGATCAGTGAGCGGTCAGTGATTATTGGTCCTTACTGTTAGATCCCTATCTTTAGACCAATTAATTGGCTAATTACTTAACCGTTGTGTAACCGTTGTGTCTCCTGAACGCACCCATTCTGTCCGTAAAGTGAAGCCGGAAGTTGGCAGTTTAAAACAGAGTGAGAAAGTTGATTTGCCCTTAGTGTTTTTTCACTTTATATTGGGTGCTTTCCAGTTGCGTACACTGTGTTACACAAAACCAGTTTATTGGTTGCATATTATCTTACAAGATATTTAAATAATATGTGACCAATAAACTGGTTTTGTATACGTGTACGTGTGTGTCAAGATGTGTTAAGCAATTGTAAAGCACCCACTATATTCTGTAAAGGCCGGTTTATGATGCCGTAATCCATTAACTTATACCGGAACCGTAAAAAATTCACCAGTCACAGTCGATTATTCTTCTATAATTCGACTATAATTGGTCAATTTTTTATGATTCCGGCATAAGTTAACGGATTACGGCCATCATAAACCGGCCTTAAGAACTAATCGCTGATTGCTCACTAAGCACTTTTTCCGCTGAACGCGTCCAGTGTTGGCAAAAGTCGTTCTACATTAGTTGCGTCGATTGCAACTCTTATTGCGCAGCCAATTAGAAACGTCAATAGCACCACTGATGCTTCTGATTGGCTGTCGCAATAAGAATTGCGTCCGCTTGCGATCGGCTTGCAATTAATGTAGAACGACCTTTAGGAGCCTAGTTTCGAAGCGACACATAAAAACAGCACTAACCAATCTTGTGTTTCTATGCTTTATGCCATCCGGAAGCTGTCTTTCTCGCGCTCTCCTCTTCCTCCTCTTTCTTCCTCTATCCTTCCTCCTCCTCCTCCTCCTTCCTCTCCGTAGCGCTTTTTCTCTTGGGGTAACGATTAGGTGCATACCGAATATCATCGATCCCGATTTCTGGAACGGGGTCACCGCACAGAGGGTGACGTGGGGGCAACGATCCAACAGCCAGCGTCCGCGCGAAGGAAGGAAAACAGATCAGCTCGCAGACGCGACGCGACGCGACGTGAATACGAAACAAGCGCAAGAGAGCAAGTAAACGAAGACGTTTTGATCGTATTGTACACCATTGTGCACACGTCGTCTGTCGTTCGCGGTCTTGTGTTGTGTTTACGTGAGTCGCGACAACAATATTGAAAGTAAAAAAGACAGATTTGAGCGAAGAAGAGCAGCGTAACTCCACATAGTGGAATTTCCGTTTTACACTCGTCAGGTAGAGTCTACTCTTTTCCTCTCTTTCTCACTCTTAGACGAATCACATCGCATCGCGCGTGGACGCGTCCACACTTAACTTCCTCATCACCGTCGCTGTCCTCGTTTCTCTCAAGTTCTCTCTTCTTTGTGTCTCGCTTCATCTCTCTTTCTCTTACGCGCGCCCGAGAATGACTAGCCACGCCGATTGTCTCAGTTCGTGGCGGTGCATCGTTTCCGCGGACGTCCGTTGCGTCGATGAGACAAAGTGAACTCGTCGTTGTCGCGCGATTTCGGCGCGTTCGCCGTGCGCAAACGGGCTTGCGGAGCGTCCTTCGTCGATCCAGGATTTAGGCCAGACAACGAAAAGATGGATGCGACGATCGAGAGAGAATGCAGCGCGTTGGGCGGTTTGTTTCAGCAGATCGTCACTGACATGAAGGTGAGAGACGTGTTTGTCGTTCCTTTTGACTCGACCGAGTACTTGCTGCATTTGACATCTCGTGTCATATTGGCCACAATGTTGATTTCGAGTTTGGTCCTTTTAATCTACACTATCCCTAAGATTAACTTTTTCTATTTGGCTCCAAATTCTTTATTGTATTAGTTTCAATGCTCTTATTTTACATAAGTCTGCACTTCATAAAAACTATGACTATTAAAACACTGATAATGCAACAAAGAATATGTAATTAAAGGAACATTGATATGTTAGCACTTATTAAAAACACACTTATATAACTCAATACTATATGATTCCATAGAGATTATAAATATAACTTATGAAATATGCATACGTGTATTGAATTGTGAATAAAAATGAAACCAATACTCTTTACTAAGACAGAAAGAAACATTTCCATTTAAAATTATGAACATAAAGAAAAGGGATATTTTTCATTACAATAAAATATATATTGTATCCTTAAGCAAGTCAAAACATATACAAATAATCTAGACATATAAGCATATGTATGTGTGCTTTATTTTTAAATATGAACAACTACATTAATTAAACTACATTACATTTTTATAAATATTAATTTCAGTAAATGAAAATAAAAACATTTTATTTATTTTGTTATGATATTATAGTAAGTAAAAAATATATTCTATAAAATTGAATTACCTGATTAAATAGAATATGTGGGCGTATATGATTATATTATCTGCCACAAATGTCACTCTAGATTCATGTTTGACTAATACTATATAGATTGTTGTAATCTTGGATTCTCTGAATGTGTTGTAATGATTTCTGTTTTCCTTTTTTATAGAATGGAGCACCACTTTGGGAAGATTTGATTTCAAAAGCTACAAAGTTGCACACATGTTTGAGGTGAAAAATTTATCCAATTTCAAATATAGTATAAAGAATCTTTTTACTTGCCTTATGTTTTGCAGTGATGCATTTTACTTTACTATTAGAGAATATATATCTGTGCTTTTTTCAGCACACATTAATGCAAAAGATCTTATTTATTCCATGTTGTGACATAATATACCTTCAGTTATATTGCATATTATACTATATTTTGAAACTTTAAAGTACTTTTAACACATGATATATATATTATTTCAGAGCTGCTATCTTGGCTATTTCCGCATATCTTGAGGCCTTTCAGAAAATAGCAGATGCTGCAACAAATGCAAGAGGTAAGTTTCTTAGATACTTATTAGATTATGATAGAAAATATAATCATTATTTAAAATTATGTATTTGAATCGTTAAATATTTGTATTGTATATATTCTACACACAAATTAAGATAAATATTAAAATTATATTATTTGTGTGCGATTAAGGTGCAACCAAAGAAATTGGAACGGCATTGACACGGATATGCCTGAGACATAAAGCGGTAGAAACTCGTATGAAGTCATTCACTAGGTACGTTCAAATGCGACGATACTTTATCGCGCGCGTGCACTTATAGATATTTCGTAATTGGACCTCAATTTACTTATATGCACTATTTCTTCTTAGCGCTATTATGGATTGCCTGGTGTTACCTTTGCAAGAAAAATTAGAAGATTGGAAAAAGTCCTTGATCAATTTAGACAAAGAACATGCCAAAGGTATGTAAACGATTTGTTGCATTATTATCTTCGTAATTATCTTTCGGATATTTCTCCTTTTATAATTCAATTATTTGTTACTTCCCAGAATTTAAGAAGGCGAGGGCGGAATTGAAAAAACGGTCTACCGACACTCTACGACTTCAGAAGAAGAAAGCGCGGAAAGGTCAAGTTCATCTACATGTTCAATCGCAAGTTCACGGGACATGTTCCGGCGACATAGAGCTCAACCGAATGTTGGAGTCATCAGCAGCAGTTGTCCAAGAGAAAAGACTGAGCTTAGAGGAAACAGAACGTAAAGCCGTCCGGGCGGCCCTTCTCGAGGAGAGAGGCAGATTTTGTCTTCTTGCACGATTTCTGAAACCAGTGCTTGTTAGTACATTTCATAGATATTTCATTAGATTTATTACTAAGTATAAGCGTTACAATATCTACATATATATATATATATGTATATATATATATATATATATATATATATATATATATATATGTATATGTAGATAGTACGAAATAGCATACCATCCAATTATCTTTCAGTTTATTTACTTCAGCGAAATCTATATCATATCTCATGCGATACACGATTCAATCGTATAGGACGAGGAGATAGCGATGCTAATGGAATTAACGCATCTTCAAGAAGTTTCCGACCAGTTGCAAAGACATGCCGCTTCGCCGCACCACTTACCGCCTGCATCCGAGCAGGTAATAACGGACATAAAAGGTTGCGACGTTACTCAATGGTCGTTGGCCACGCCGCCGTCGAGTCCGTCGCTGTCTCTTGGGTCGAGGAAGAGTTCTATGTGTTCGATCAGTTCTCTAACTAGTAGCAGTAGTGGATCATGCAAAAGCCACCCGAGCCCGTCCGGACACCCATGGCACCGATCGCTCTCTCAGGTAATTACGCATCGATGGTTTATTACTTCTGTTCTCTCCTACCACCTCGTATTACTCTACCTACCTTCTACTACACCTTCTCGTCTCATTCCTCTTCTTTTTTTTTTTTATCTTTTTAAAGTATATTGCATGACGTGGTAACCACTATTAATGTACCACAGCCGCTAATGCACTAGTAGCGTCGCACATAGACATTACAGCATGAGACGCATCTATTTGCCCGTCGAACGGCAGCTTAGTGTATGTGGTAGTCGATGTTGTACTCGTTGTCGTAGCCTGTCGACGGTCGTGTCAGGCCCGCCAGCATCAGCGGCACCATGACGTTGCGTCACTTGACCAGTGGGAGTTCCCGTGATTCCGGTTTCACGTCTCAGGATACGCTGTACAATCAACCAATCTCCGAGCATCAGGTATGATTTTTAGTTAGTGGGGCGCGAAAATTTGCGACGTTTCGCGAAGAGTCTTCCCAGAGCGCGAGAAAGAAAAACAAGAAGAACGTATGGGTGGTTTCTTTGATGTATAACGTGCGTGCTATCGCGTAATTGAGTGCAATTGACGCGCTTCAATTCGCTCAGAACGCGTGATTGGGAAGATTCAACATGAAATCTCGTCGACTTATCCGTCTGCCTAGTGATTAGTTTGCTGCTCGACTTGCTTGTACCCCTTTACAGCGATTTTAGTCGACGGACTCTAGCTTAATTTCCAGAATGCCGCATTCGTATCTTTACCATAAAATCATACATTTAATCGACTAAGAGAGGCGGCTTATGTTTCTAGGTATCGAATGTGTCTTCTCTAAGTAATCAAAGTACCAGTTGCACTGTAACAAGACCCGTGTCAACTTCAACTTGGCCTGATTTGCAGGAAACGTCCGTTCAGTATGACCGGCAAAATCCGGGCGCAGTGAACGAACGGCCACACACTATCTCTTCCGGTAAGCTGTGAACAAATTTTATTTTCTTTTTATCTTGTAAATGTAATTTGATCTTGTAAAACCTTGAGCGAAAATTCTCGATTCGACAAACTGATCGCGCTTTCACCCTGTGAACTTACAGCGTACGAGAAAGGACATCAGAGACCGGCGCTCAGTGTTTATACATTCCAAGCTCCAGATCGTGACGGTAGCAGCTGTTGTCATAGTCAACCTGCTTCTCCGGTCTCCTCTTCCTCATCATGTTCTTCCTCGAATCAACAACTATCTAGGATACAACTGCGTAGAAATAATGGCGGTACACGTCCGCCCATACCGAGTAGGTGTTCTAGTCTGGAACGACCGACGATTCCGATGAAGAGCGACGCGCCTGGCAGTCCTCGGGGGAAACCCAAGTTACCTTTGCCAGCTCACCTAGCGAAAGGTTCATACAGTGATTCGTATATTCTTACCGTAAACATAAACGATTCAATCGTTGCGAGAGTCTGTTAATGTGATGATGAAACGCAGAACTGGCAACTCATCAGCTCCAGCAGCCAATGTACGTGAATATGCACGAATTGGCGAACTTAGCAGCTAGTCGCGCTCAAGAAATGCAGCTTCCACTGCCGCCTCCTCCTGCATCGTTAACGGCATCAGGAACTGATAAAGTACTGCAAAAACAAACATATTTATATTATATTGTATAAATATGATAGATATGAAGCAAAACTAGATTGCAATCATGTAGAAATATAGGAGATGATTCAGTCTCACGCTTTTATTAAAAAAAAAAAAATGAATGCTATCTTTCGCTATTCGTCGCTAAAAGAATTCGCTTCATATTCACTCATGTGGCTTATCATTCTGTCAATTTCGATGCAGACTGAAAACCCAGAGAGAGATGCCGGCAGTCAAACGTCCGAGTCCAGCTTAGAATCCAGTAGCGGATATGGCAGCCAAAATACTCTGCCACATTCTCATTCCCTTCACAATCAAAATGAAAATACTTGGAATGTACCTGGCGCTGCAGCTACGTTGATGGCACGTAGAGGATCCATGCAGCAGGTACCTAGACCACCACCGCCGACAAGACGCACATCCACCGTTATCACCGCGCCTCCCTCGTCTCTCAATGAAGATCGCGGCGAGAATGTTTGCGATGAGACGGAGAATCTTCCTCCGCCACCTGCATTTCTTCTGGAAGGCTCGTCACCCACAGCCAGCCCTACGCCTCAAAGGTATGACATAAATAGACATCCCTATAAATGGAAAAATTATAGTTAGTCCATTATAAAATATTAATTTATAATCAAAATTATAAAATAATTCTTTCATAAGAACTTCAAGTTACGATCAATTTTACGATCGAAACGTTTTTTTCCCTCTTAGATCTATCTCTGTTTCGGAGACAGTGAGAACCCTGACTGAACTCCGCCACACCCCGGCTAGTCCGTCGCTTCTGCGAAAGGCCACCGGACAACAGCAGGCACACAACAATCCGATCCAGCATAACGCCGTGCTGCAAATCACTCGTTCATCGGTGGAACGTTCCTGTTCAGCTGTTCGCTCGATATCGCAAGAACGCGGAGCTACTGGTACGCAAGTTGTTACCGCTGCGGTTGGTGGTGCAGCCACGATCGGTCAGCAAGGAGTCGGTGCTCAAGGTAATCAAGGGCCGGGCGGTGTTGGTCAAGGCTTTATGGCAGTGCTGAACGCTAAACTCATCGGTACCGCGGCGAGCAACAATGCTGTAGGTGGCGTGAACGCTAGTGGCAGTCCGAAATCGTTAAGAAAACAATCATTGATCGAAGCGCAGCAACAGTCCAATCAGAAGAACACCAAAACTACGGCGTCCGGTTTTCTCGAAACATTGAACGCTAAACTAGCGCAGCAACAGCAAACGTTGCAGGGAAGTAACAGCGGCGCAAGCAGGTCCGCAAGCATCAGGCGCATTATGGGCAATCGTGTGCCTATCGTGGATCCGCTGCAAGTCCGTGACTCCCTTATGGATCAGATCAGACGGGGCACATCACTACGGAAGACCAGCGGCCCGATCAATGATCGTTCGGCGCCCAAGATCTATTGAGTGGTTCGGCAAGCTCCAATCTTGGCGCGAGTCCGCAGCGATACGCGCGTCGTCGTTCGTGCACAAACATCACAACAGCGTCATCGTCGATTTTCCTAGCACACGTAATGGCGAACTCGATTAAATGTGCGCATCAAGCCCACTAAGCCGATGTTCAGTCGAATTCGCCATACGAACGTGATATAAACGTATCATTTGACAAAAACGGTATTTTATGATTCTCTGCCTCGATATCAGCGGCGAGGCTGCTCTGTATTTTTCCTCCTGTGCTGTATGAGTTTTTTATTATGCCGAGAAGCGAGAATATATGGTGAGACTATTTTTTTTTTTTTTTTTTTTTTTTTTTTTTTTTTTTTTATTGCGCCGCTGCTATTACTGCTGCTAAGCCCTAGTGATATCCCGATGATAACACGCAGGCTCCATATTAAATCGATATATGATTTATCTGTGCGATAACGCGCGCATATTTGTAAATCGAAATGTCACGCGTGATCGAGACTGAGAATCAATTGAGAGTAACATTGTGTAACCTGAAACGGCGTTATATATGTACGATTTACGATGTAGTATAATGTATTCGAGCAGCATATAGGAAGATTTTTATAATGTATTAATATTTATAAAGAAAACTGATTTTTTCATTAGGGAATTGTCAAGTAAGATCCGTATCGATACAACGACAATACTCCAGTACAACTTGCGTCTATAGTTCTCTATTTTTTCTGCTTAACGCAGAACGCTTGCTGCAAACGAATCTCTTGTTGCTATTATTATCACCGCTATTGCGCGCTTAGTCTGTAGTCGAACGGCTAACAGATGGATCTACGATTCTACTGAAAGTCATACACAATTTAATATCGAGCTTGTGTTCTCTCGAGATACAATTCGATAAATCCGCGTTATAAGTATCCTACATTATATGCGTGTTCCTGTTTTTCGTTTGCTTCTTTTTTCTTTCATCTTTACGTCAGAGGAGTGCGAATCTGCTAGTTTTGCTAATTGTTGCTTCTATATATATATTTTTTTTTTTTTAACGATTCCACGTGATTGCACATGCACGCATTTGACCTCGAGATGGCTACCGTTCTCCAGTAGTGTATTTTCCACTGTCGAGAAAGAAAGAGAGTTACTGTCGAGTTACGATTCCAAAAAAAAAAAGAAATGTTGGTACATATACTAATAATAGAGTTGTACTCGCGACATTTCTCTCAATGTCGAAAATGTTTAAATGTTAATTGAACGTAATGTATCGCGCCTTCGTTATAAGGTGATGTATTTCTACTGCGGTCGTCATCGCTTACGAGTTTTACATTCATCATGTCTCGGCAAAACGGAACCTCAAGAGCGAGCGACAAGAGCATTAATTGTCGAGTATTAGACGTCACGTGTCACGTTGTTTCAGAATCATTTTTATATCACTTTCCTTTTTATATAATATATACGCATATATCACATGTCTCTTTTTATAAAAGTTTTTTGCGTTTAGAATTATTGTCAGTGCATACTGCTCATCGCCAGTGTATTATCACTGCCTATCTTGTCTTGGGCGTGCAGTTGGAGCCACGAGTTAATCTTCTATATATCGAGACTAATGACGGCGAATCGAATTACTGCCAATTACATATTCATCCGTTCCTTTCATTCCTCAGTATAGTTAAGTTCTAATTGTATTTTTCCTGCGAAATAACGCGACGAATAGTGTATAATGAGCTCTATAGTATATACGTTTATTTATTTCAAGCATTTATCTGTATACAAGCGTGAATAAATAATGATACTTCCAGAGAAACTCTCCATTTGATATTTAATAGTAAATCGTCTTTCTAAGAGTGTAGGCCAAGAATGACGACGAATAGGAATTCGTTAGATTTAGAGATATCTGCTCGTCAGAAGCATATCCGATCCGATCGACATTAAATGTCAAATGGACAATATAATATCGTGGATTGAAGTCATATTAAATAAATAATCGTACATACATTGTAATAAGATACTATTTAATGTAGCAAGAACTCGACAGGTGATTGTTAATTTGTAATAACTATTACAGTGCGATCAAACGTGGATAACAAATAAAGATATGACACATTTGTCTCTGAAACCTAGAAATATTCTAGCCTTTTTATCCGCTTCTCATTTTTCTTTTCACTCTACGACTTAAAAAATAAGTTTGAAATTGAATTCTGTCGAATGTTTCTTAGGTTTAGGATTTCATTTTATAGATCCATTGAATTACTCAATTGCTATATCGTACATCACTGTTCTTTATTTACAGTTTATTTGACTCATTAGTTATTCGCTCTATTCACAATTATGAATTACGATAACGCGTTATAACTTTAATTATAAAAATGATATCCTACTCTTTTGGATACTGTGTCTAGATAATGCAGAGTTCGCAACGTAGTTATGTATATTATGTTGAGACGGGATTTTATAACAGAGATATGTAAAAAATGAAAATTCAAGATACTCAAAATGAATTAAAATACCTTATGTGAAATTTGCCGCCAAATTATCACGGACGTTCCGTAACAAGTGGACTGAATTGTAATGATAAGTTTCAACTGTGCAAATTCGCAGTTGATTTCTTCTCGACGTAACTCGACGACTCTTCGCGAACTAAGCTTCATCGGGGACGTATATGTAACAAAACGTTTTCGGCGCAACACCGACGATCAGTCAACTGTAGAAAGATCAGGAAGTCCATTTTATTTTGTACACGTTAACCGAGCATCAATTATCTCTTGTGGAACACCACCGACAGGTTGTAATCCGTATATGGAGACCAACTCGTTCAAGACATACTGACTTGAACGCTTACCGAACTCGCTGTCCGTGTGATGCATTATTAGCGCCAGACCTCCAGCTGCAATACAGTTTAAACGTTTTAATTACACATTTCTACTTTAGATTATATTATTTTAAGATATAATATTCTGAGGCACATCCTTTAGGATAATATAATTATTGTTGTTGTTAAATATTGTTACATAATATAATTATGTAACAATATTTAACAACAACAATAGTGATAAACAATAATATAAATAGCATCTATATACATTATAACCGTTTTTAGTTGTACTTACGCGTATCTAAAGGAGAGCAGGAACAATCAGGATCTAAAACAAATGCGATCGTAGAACGGAGGCGTTTAATATGTTGTGACGGTGATATATCCAACAGAAGTCTCGCCTTTCGTAATCGTCTAATCGCTGCTTTCACGACGCTGTTGGCGGAGCAATAAAACTCGTTGATGTCCACCGGTAACTCATCACTGCATAGAGGACAAGATCCGTTCGGAGCGAATGCTGACGCTGAAACCAAACAAATACTTGGTTAAAAAATTTCAAGATCACATATATCAATATAATCAATATATACAGACGGATATAAGATCTTTAGTTTTAATCTGTTAACTTATTTCCTCTCCATTAGTTTCTATTTACATACGCGATGATGAAGAAGCTTTGCTTGAGTTTGCTTCTTCCATCGAAGCGGTGCGATTGATTGTATCCTGCGACGATTCGCTGTTGATGTTCGTTATGTCAGGTTTCACGTAGACTGGCGTGGGTCCTTCGACCCCGTCGGGGGTCGCTAATTCGTGGTCAACCACTACGAAATTTGGGTTCCCATCAAAATCAACATCTTGATCTTGCTTGTTGAAAGCTGACGGTCCTTCTATATCCTCAATATTTATACTGGGAGGTTCAAGTCTGTCGAATACGGGATTCAGATTGATATCTGGCTCGTCTGGCGTTTGACCACTTCCGACTTCCATCTGTGGTACTGTTGAATACGAAAAATTGTAAGGTGAACAAATTACATTAAAAGATTTGTGCATGTGTGTTTTAATATAAATCATTCTTATCGTTGTTGAACTTCATAGCATCATACAAAACTTGTACACTAACCATCTATGTTATCAGACACGATGCCGTTGTTGTTGGCTGTGCGAACATTTGCCACGCTAGCGATATCGTCCGTATTTATCTTAAAATTGGAATTCTCCAGCAGAGAAACGTTCTCGTCCTTCGATTGTATGCCAGTTATCAGCGTCGGTTTTGCTACCGTCACCTTGTCGCGGAGTTGTTCGACCAGATCTTCTTGGGATGCCGGCTTCTGGCTGGCGTTACTTATCTCTTCTATAACTCCTTTTTTCGCCTTCAGAATTACCTCGTGAACATTTTTGGCCGCTTTCTCAATTATCTCTTCTTTGCCTGAATTCTTTTCGTTGTCTTTCCCCGGTTGTTCCACTTCCACAGGCACTGGATTGGGAATTTCTGCCTCTTCACTTGGGTTGGCACTGCTACAAGTCGGTGCAAAGCTGTAGCTCTGAAAAAGAGAAAACGTGAAATTAAAAAATGCGACAAATTTTTGTGTACAATCTCTTATTAATTGCTCTAATCGATTCTTTAATTAAATACTGATTAATCCTGTTTTCTAACTTTGATGTTTCAAATCACTATTTTTTAAGTAGTCCTCATCATTTTACATAGTCGTTAATTGATATGAAGCAATATGTTCATAAACTTACGCTAGATATCGTCAGTTCCTGCTGATAGTAATCATAAAGTTTTACATTCGCTGGCTCAAGTCTATCGACGATATTTTCTCTGGTAACAATGAGCGATATGCAAGTTTTCTGGCTGATTAACTTGTCGAAATAAATGCTGACAACGTCGCGATCCTCTTCGAAACGCTTTACTTCTACAAAGTTGTATAATTTTAGAATATGACATATTAAAATCATCTTACTAAAAAATAAATTACAAGTGTGAAATGGTAATGTATATCTTTAATATATTTTTCCATTAATGAGCTCAATATAATACTCACTCGTAGCCGGATCCTCTAATAGAGAATGAAGACTTGTGCGATCTGGGACGTATCCGCTTATCATGCCGATTTCCAGCAGTGCCATGTTACTCTCCCCATCTGCCATTTTATATCGTGTGCAGATTGTAATCTTTTGCATCGAGCATTCATCAACCGACGCCAATACAGAGGTAGCACCGACCGAAAGATCGAAGGCTTCGGAGCCAGTTGCATGTGCGACGTTATATTTTATGTTGCTCTGAGAAAAAAAAAGTTTCCGTTTTACATTTTTTTACACAGAGAATAAAATGTATATGAGTTTAACGCAGTTAACAAGTATTCAACAAGTAAACGTATAATAAAGTGTACACAATATAAAAGTATATAAACGAGAAACTAAAGTAACTACAAAACTTAATAAAATTAACATTTAAACTTTTTGATACGCAAAATCAAGCGATAAAAAATGCGTATAATCTTCGATGGGAAATTATTTGAAACTTGTACGCGACGAGAGTTTGATGACGTCGTACCTGTACTAAGACGCAGCCCTCGCCCTCGGCGAAGATCTCAACTGTCGTGGGTAATATGGGCAAACGTATCTGTGTGAGAACCATGCGGTTGTCGTTATGCATTCTGTATACTTGATCAACGTCGCCAGCTGTCACAAGCACCGACAGATCTGTGCTGTTGCTTGACATCGCGGCGGCGTACTTGGTGAGCGCCTCGAGGCCGAGAACAGTATCTTGTGTGGACGTAAAGCCGCCCTCCGCGTTTCGTTGCTTCGACATCCAGCGAACCGCCTTCAACGCTTCGACCATGTTTGCTTCGCCACCCAGTTTTACAAACGACAGCACGGCGTACGCTGTCATCTCGATACTTAGACCCAGAGAGGGTTTGTACTTGTCTTCCCACCAAAGAAGATCCTACAAGAAAATGAAGATTCCTGAGAAACTATTTATCGTCAGGGAATTGATCGTCGATTTCGTCTTCATTACATACGTGATTTCGCGTTGCACGGTCCATGAGTAATTTCAAGCTGTTGTTCGCTTTTGGATGTTCCAACAACGCGAGAGCATACGTAGATAAAGCCGCCGTGTACGTCGTGTCACCGCCGTTCGCCATTCCTTTTTCCAGACAATGTAGGGCGTTGTTTATAAGCGACGGTGTTAATGGTACACCCGATTTTAAGAGAGAAATTAATATATACGCTGTTAACGCTGTAGAGGAACTGTCATCATCTTGTAAACCGCCCTAAGAACATAAAAGTTTGCATGAGTTTTACAAAAATCAGTGTTTGCAGTGCAGTTGATTTGTATCAATACATAGTAGTTTTATACGAATAAAAAGCAAACTCGGATTTTTAAATAATACTTCTTAAAATATAATCAATGCATTTTTACTAAAATAGTGTATTGACTTTCTATGATAACTTATAACTAGTAGTTCAGAAAGATTCACTTTAAAAGAGTATTTTGTGTATGTGTTGTTTTTTTTAAGTATATAAGAGTTATAAATTATAGTGTCATACCTTCATGTCTTTGTGGAATACTCTGCCTATCACCGGGAAGCACCCATTCTCTAACTGTTTCTTCATCATCCACTTGACAGAAATCTTTAAATCTCGTTCGTCAATGTGAATTATACTTCTTGCTTGAGCGAAGGATTTTATTACGAATGCGGTGAGCCAGATTGAACTCTCTGAGCTTTCCGGACCAAATGCGGAGTACGAACCATCTGGATGTCTGTATATCAATTCACGCTGATATCCTGAATAGAAAATAAATATGAATTACGAATTAATATTAATGAGACTTATATTTTAATATATTGGAATATATATGAGATATATATTCGAGACTAGCAACAATTCAACTATAAATTTTTTGGTCATCTTGAGATCAATTTTGATATTATTTTAATAGAAACATCAAAATATTATTATATTATTTAGATATAAAAAGTATTTAAAAATAAAGAATTTTAGAAACTAGATTTTAGAGACGCAAATGTAATTAAGATATTACATTAATTTCAGTATAACAATTATCTTAATTGTAATCCTAATGAAAAATCAAGATCACTCAGAAATTAAAGATGTACCTTTTTCCATGTTCTTCACCGCTCTCGCTCGTAGTTCTGGATTTTCGACACCGGTTGCATCCAAATAACCGATCACATGAATATTAGGAACAAAAAGAATCATATTTTGCTCGCCACAGCCAAGTGGCAAACGAACGAGACTGTCGAGATTCTCGAGAGCAGGTCCTAGAATGTCTCCTATCAAGGATACGTATGCTCTCGCACTCTCGGGCACTAGGTCTTCCGGTAAATCAAGATCCCAACTGATGGTAGAATCGTCGCTGAAATCCTTCGGGCAGATGAATGCTGACTTGGTCGTTTCTACGGGGAACCCCTCCGGTAGCACAAGTATCGGCTTCACAATTACGTCTCTGAACGAATGTAATACAAGTAATTAAATATCGCGATCTACAATCACTACAATATTTGCTTTTAATTCTAATTTCCATAAGACAATAAGTTATAAAAAAAATTCTACGCATATCAAAATTTACACAAATTGTCTTTGAATAAAATATTGAAAATTTTTAGTTAAGCAGTTATGATGTTACTTCTCTATTAATTCTTTAAATCAATACTCGGAATTATTTGTTCTCTCAAAATCTACACCTACTTTCTTTCCTTTGTCTTTCTTGTTTATCTGTCGAACTTTGCGATTGTTTATTTGAGTTCTCATTATACGTGTTATTTCTACATAATATTATACTGCTCTATCTACCAATACACATTTATATTATTATAATTATAACAAGAATTGAACACTAGTTTTAATAATAATTTTTCAGAAATCATGGTGAGTCCCGCAGATCTTATGAAATTGACGCTTCTGAGGCTAAACGCCGTAAGTCAATTATGAGGCTCGAAGGGAGAGGCAAAAAAAGAAAATAAACATAAAAGAAAGATAGACGTAAAAAATCGTCAAAAATTATAACAAAAAAGCTTGGCAAATTAATTCACTTACTGTGTATATAGAAGCGTTTCTGGACCACATGGTTCGGCGTAGTCCGAGTCGATCGAAGCGGAAACCGTGATATTAACATCACCAAGAACTCGCGGTCTGAGGATATATTCGTGAACCACACTATCACGAGGTTTCACACAGAACGAAGCAACTGCGTGTGACAAATGCAAGTCAAGTCCCGTTGCGTCCTCCAGCTTGATTTTTACCTGCAAAAATCGATCGTTCGTTGTTATTCGATCGTAACATAATGCTATTTAGTAAACACAAACGTAAAAGATTACATAAATGTTATAATTTCCCACTCAACAATGTAAGTGCAATATAACTTGCGTTGTACGTAACAGTTACATCACTTAGAAGGAAATTACAACATTGATGTAATGTTATTGTTCTTAGTGTTCACTGGATACTGATTAAACTTTATAAGTATCGACGACAAAAAGTATAATAGTCTACCAAAGAAAAGGACTCACCGGTAAACTGTGCTGCATGTAATTAAACAGGGAAACTTTCATGCGCAACAATTCGCCGCGTTTCACGCTATATGGTAGACTATAATCGAGGAAGAACGGTTGGAAGCCCGTGATGGTTGTCGGTGGAGCTATCCCGAGACCATGTGTAGGTGAGATACACGTGGTGTATCCAACCCAATCAGTGATAGTGTCAGGCAGAATACGCTCTATAGTCACTTTACCTTCTTTTCTGTTAGAAAAAACGACACTCATTAATCGATATGAATATCCGACAGATATTATATATCAAAATATAAAACTAAAAAGATAAACTCTATTGATACGGTGAATATTAAAAAGCAAAATCTGCTATAAATCGATTCGTACTTGAGTAGCATGGTTGATAAGTTCAGTAGCATTTGATGAGTTCAAGTGTACATACCCGGTTGGTATTAATTCCCACAGCCAAGTTTCAGGAAAATAGGATCTGAGAGTCGTAGGTTGATCGGGTATTGAATCCACGTAACTCTGTTCAGGGCTCAAGTTGAGTAATGGAACTGCCATGGGTAATGTTCTCATTGCCTTATTAATTACTGCTGTTAAAATAATAGTGCATTAATATACTAAACGATAAATAGTTTAATTTTGAACTACAGACATAAAGGAACCCAGTCACTTAAATAATTATTCTTTAATTTGCATTATTTTTTTTTTCTTTTATCTTCACATTTGTAGCAATAATAATAAAAACTATATTAAAACGTTAAAGTATATATTGTTCTTATAAATGTTTAGCAACGAGGTTTTTAGAATCACGTTTATAGGAATATAAAACTACATCAAGTCCACACTTAAAAATTAAAAAGATAAATAGTCTTGTAAATACATACCAGGTTCCGTGCCAGAATGAAGAACAAGTTTGTGGACACCAATAAAATCTCTTGCCTGCCAGAAAAATTGGGGACAAGGTCGTGTTTCCAATATCAAATCGCTCATCACGATAGCTCCGAAATCCTGTAAAAAGACAATAAAAACATAATAATCTTTCTCAATTAATCTTAGAATTATATATATTTGTCTTTTTTCGACGAATATAAATAATTCTAAAATTAATCAAAGAAGATTATTATACTTTATTATCTTTTACAGGATTTCGGAGCTTACATCAAACGCTTGTACAGCATCCACATAATTCACGTCTCCGTGATTCTTCCAGTCGTGGAGAATCGTGGTTCTTCTACTTCTCAAGCGCGACCAAACAGGTAATTCTCTCAAAGCGGGAATCGGTAGATGGTCAACTTCCTCGGTATTGCTTTCATGCTGCATCGTCGCTGTAAACAATTTTACATATTAGGTCACATAAGTTACTTAAAATCATTGTGCGAAAATCGCAATATAAATAAATTTAAATTTAAAGAAAAAATATATTAAAAACAATTTGTCAATGTTATTTTTTTATCTAGGATAATTACTGCTACGTAATACTTAAATGAGATATGAGTGTCAACTTTGTGTAAATCGTCGAATATCTTACATACTTTTGCAGTGTGTCCATGTCCAAATAGGCCGCGTTTCTGGCTCGATATGGAATCTCTTCAATTGCTCGAAGCTTCGTTCTGCATCAATTAGATTCGATTTGGATCCTCCCAAGAAGCGAGTCGACTTATCAACTGCCGAAATACCACAAAGAGACCATGGGGCGGCTTCCACATGATATAGGGTAGCCGTTCCTGGAGTCTGGGCGTCGGTGTGCCAGGCGGACTTCACCTTATTCTCGAAACAATGTCCTACTTCGATTGAGTACGTAGTAGCGACAATCTCGCCGTCTGGACGAATATAGTAGAGAAGCAATTCTGAGATGGGCGCCATAGACGGGGTTATCTTTACGCTTAGAGGGAATCTGGACAAAAGTAATCACAATATATAAACGGTAGTTGTGATTTCGATGTGTATTTAATGTGATATAAAATCAATATAATATAAATTCACAATATATTTATAAAATAAATTTAGTGAGTGCATAGTTAATGTTAGTTAACGTCAATTAATATTAATAATCGATAATGTTAACGATTATTAATATTAATTACGTTAACAATAATTAATGTTAAGAAACAAAATATCAGCTACCTGTGAACGATGGTGTCCTGAGTGGTTTTGTTTCCCGGCGTTTCGACGGCACCTAACAAGTTCCGGAATTCCGAATAATTCAGAACTGTGTCTCTGGTCGGCCGGTGCTTCACATGGCCGTATATCAATAGATCTCCTTTGGAATTAATTGAGTAATGGAAAGAAATAGATTCGTTTGTCTTACTCTTCGCCGGCACCGTGTACATAACATTGAAAGAATATTTTTCCCCGCAGACGATTGGTTGGTAACCTCTAGCTACTGCCAAATAACTGTCTGACGGTGAATACCAAGGACTTACGTCGATGTGCGCTGACGGTTGATCCATAAAAACCTAAATTTTTAAACTAACGTTAGACTCGTACATATATTAAATACTTCCAGAGATATTTTGAACTTTTAAAATATACAAACACTTTTCTTCTAAGTTGAAAGAAATATACACAAATTCCACAATGTAATATAATTTAAATTTAAAAAATGTTAAACATAATTTAACTTTTATATCAGCAATACTATGTCATAATTGTTCAGATGCGTCTTTTACACTTAAGAAATATGGAAGTTACATCTTTGTACTATTTTAAAAGTAAAATCTTTATACTACTTGAAACAGTAAACAGATATAACATCGTATGATTTATATCGATATATATATATATATATATCATGAATTTAGACCGGAAATAATACAAAGTGTATAGAGTGATAATAATTCGAATGCTGCATAGATTTTTTTTCACTCTTTTTAATTTTTAACTACGGACCTGGCGTTGTCTCATATTCCAATAAATGTGATTCTGTAAAGAAACTCTTGGCTAGAAATTTAAGAAAACACAAATAATCTTTTAGAAAATATAAAAAAAGTATAACCCTTTTCTCGAAATATAAATAATAGATAAGTGTATCGACGTACTCGCCAACGTGTGTCCGGTGAATAGTACTTCGTGGGATAGTCGATACCCGTCGCAACGAAACTCAGCAAAACGATATTCCGATGTGATAGTGGCACAATGAAGTCAACGAAGCCGTCGGATGATGACGTGAAGTTACGACATTCTACTACTACGCGAAGCCATTCATCCTTGCCGCGCACTCGCAAGCAAAGTTGAATCTTTTCATGTGGTGCTGGGGTGTCATCGTGTCGCGAGACGCGTAGCTATAGGAGAAATGTATTTCATCAGAAACATACATGTTGCATTCTATAAACAGAACTCTTTGTAGAACTAATTAAAAATAAAAAAATAATAAATTTCTTCCCAGTAAACACGAAGTATCATCCATGTTACAATGTCAGCTCAATCATATGATATATTATGTAACTGTTACTTTGACATATAACAAAGTAATATATCATATGACTGAACTGACATTGTAACATCAATGATACTTTGTGTTTACTGGGTTGCTAACTTTACCTTTCCGTGGTATGGTAGACCTAATTTGAAGTACTTGGGTGTATACGGCAGAAATTCTAATTTTAAAGCTTGATGAACAACCACGGTCCGACTAGTTGTCGTTTCTACTATACCGGTACCAGCTTCGGTGAAATTTGCTATGAGGACGATATTATTTGGTGCTACTTTCCAATGAGCTAGTCCAAGCACCGCGCCTGACAGCACAAATTCTGTACAACCGTCCGGCGAATCTAGCTGTAATAATTCGTTAGTTATAAGTTAGACATAATAGATCTGAATAAATCTTAGGAATATTTTATTACAATCTTCTCTAATTGAGTGAATATACATCCAAAATTCTTTAAAGATATATTCATAGAACAGAATCATATTTCGATATGTAGGAGAGATATGTAGGAGAGAAAATTACTTAATCAACTATGAAAGAATAAAAGAAACTAACCTCTGTTTCGTAATGTATTTCTGGGAGATTCGACTTTCGTCTCCACATCGGTGTTTGAGGCGTGGATTTTAAGAGTAAAGTACCTTTTACAGGTTTACCGTAACTGTATCTGTAATAATATCATTCTATGTACAAAATGTATGAGTAAACATAGCGAACATGCTTTAATTGGTTTTGTATCAAGATATGTACTTACTTGGCACATATGTTCCAAGTAACGTTCTCCGCATCCGCGAGAATGTATCCTGGTGAAGTTATGGTCACTTGAAATCTCGGAAGGACGTATTTCTTCACTTCGAACATTGTTGTATGAACCAGTTGCGGTTGCTTGTTCTTTTCCACTTTGACTTTCCAGGTGCCCTGTAACGTAAAAAACATCTTCAGTATTTCTACCAATCTTTCCATTGATAACTTCACATTTGCTTAACTCTCTAGCATCAATGTAAATAGGATATTTACTGGACACTTCGCGACGTACTCGGCAATTTCGCTTTATCGAATTTTTAAAGACAAAATCAATTATCAAATCAAAGAAGAGTATTCAGTTTTACCGGGCTTGGTTCCGGAGATAGAGGAAACTTCAATTGCACCATTCCATTTTCGGTACTGACGTTGGTCCATTGTGCTACTCGTATTTCGGACGGATTTTCGATCCATACTTTTGGTATCTAGAAACAGAGAGAAAAATTTAATATTACCAATAAATAAAAAACAAAAATCTTATGAAGAGATCTAAAATTTTTTTAAAAATTATATCTACATTTCCGCTTTTAATTAAGATTTTAACTTTTATAATTGAAGCTGTTAAATATGCCATATATTCCTATTTTAATTAAAGCTGTTAAATATGCCATATATTCCTATTTTAATTATATTATTCTTATTATTATAATCAATATTTATTTCGTGTTTCTATGTTAATAGCAAATAACAAACCGTTTTCTTCCAAGGCTTCAAATCGTGCTTCAACATAAGGATCCTAATGTTTACATCTTGCCCCGGCTTATAGACCGGTTTATCAGTCTCCACGAACGTGATTAACGAATCGTGCTCGATGTAAACTTCCTTCTCTGTCTCTACGACATAATCGGGATACTTATCAAATGTGATCTTCAATCGCAATCGTGCTTTGAAGTTCTCCGTCCGTGGTACTACCAGTTCCAGACACGTTTCTATCCCTGCAAATGACCGGATGTTATGAGAAACAAGAAATAAAATGTCTACCAGTATATTCGTAACGAGAATAATTTGAATGTATGTTTGTAAATTCATTAGCATCTATAAAATATTTATTAATATATTTACAAATACTTGAAATATAAAATTCATAAAAATAATATAAAATATATGTAAATTTTAAAATATATGTTAATACATCTAATATTATACATATACATTATTCAGATGTCACATTCATTGAAATGATAGAATGCATCTTCATCTTCTTCTTGATTCAATTAAGAATGCGCGAGATGGGAAGTTAAAGAAAAATGATTGATTAATTATTTTTTTCAAAATATATGTTCAAAAGATCGTCGTTGTTAACTAATACTCGGTTATTTCTAGTAAAACCTAATTATTCCGTGATTTATATCGCCACGGTTCGCCATTCGTTTATGATTCTCATCAATATATACGCGACCGCGACGTCAGAATATGATAAAGTCGGACCTTGATCGAGAGCGGTACTTGTTGTTCACCCCGTGCGTAGTAACAATACAGATAAGTTTCCCATGTGATCCGAGCGATTAGTTATTTCCCCTCCAAAGAGAGACTCGGCTGATTTAGCTCCCCCGCAGGAAGCGACGACAATTTCAATTTACGATTTGTTTAAAGCGTCCGACTCGTGGCGGCGAAGGAAGAAAGAGGGACGGGGCCCGCTTCAGGGACGTCGCTAGGATTTTCGGGCCCGGAAACGAAGTCTCTAATGGTGGACGTTGTGACGCAGACGTCAAATCATCCGCTATCGATTCCTCAACGGTTTCTCCCTTGGCAGACTTTGAATACGTAGCTTTCCTCGCGTCGCGAGTCCGTTATCCTACGCTCCTGGAGCGAACGTGCGATCTCGCAGCGTATTTTCAACGACTGCGTATCGTGTTGCGCGCGCGATAACGCATCCACGGCTTTGCCCGAGCGCTCGATTATCCTTAGACATATGTCGCGAGCGTGAAACTCCACATTCGAAAAGTGCAAGAACATAAGTTTGATGAGCCAGTTTTTGCAGCATGACCTGACATATGTGCTACTTTTCGGGCAAACCGCGTAAAAAAAACCGCCTCCAGATGAGGCATCGAGCATTCAAACTCGAGTAGTCGCATATCCTTAAATTACGGTATCGTATCGATGGAGGTTTGATGAGGAAGGAAAAGAAACGCGCTTGCCTGTCTGGATGACATTGCTTGTGCTGGCCAATACTTCATCTTTCGTAGTTGATGGAGATAGCAACTCCAGTATAACATGCGCCGGAGGCTCTAAATTGTGCAGAGATAAACAGCCGCTCTCGATCTCGCCGGCCAAAAATCTCCTTGGCGCGGTGAAGACGTATCCTCTAACAAAAAAAAAACTATCAATTAGACGAAACAGAAACGTCATGAACTACGATTGGCGAAGCTTTGGGACTTTGGGAGTAATTTTATAGTTCAACGATAGAAATCACGTTATAAATCGCCTAAAAAATCGTGGTTAATTGGAACAACGATATGTTCAGAATCACCCAACAATGTCCAAAATTTCTCAATTAAAAACAAGACTTCTTGAATGACATTCTCTGGATTAAATACTTTTCAAATTGTGCAAAACAAATGTTACGTTGCGTGTTGCCAAATTTTAAACATTAAGAGAGAGATTCGGTACAATATTAAATATTAGATATTGATTATAATCTCGCGATCTAAAGAAAAACATTTAGAAACGTTGTGTTCGATGCGCGAATATTGTGAACGTTTTTCCTGTGTAACTATTAAGTCCCACAAAATCCGCGAGGCAAACATTCGCATCCGAGAGTACGATAGCCGAGAGAGCTACTCGCTATTACTTCACGAAACAAAGACCAACGATAAAGATGATTTCAGCACTCTTTACCGATTAGCACTCGCGCCGACGAGCCCTTCGCAAGGTAGAAGGAACACGTGCAGGAAGACGAGAAGTACACAGGATACGATCGACTTATCCATTGTCTCTCGAGTCGAGTTTCTCGACTCACTGATCGCGGCGGTCGACGCACTCGCACACGCTCGTTCGTCCGAGAAAATCTCAGTCGATCGTCGCGAGCATTATTAACACGACACACACGTTCTACCGTCTCGTTGTCGTTTCTTTGCGAGAAGGAGTACTCGAGTTGTTGCACGGACTAGAGAAGAACGCGGCCGCCAGAGATGCTGCGGGCCGACTGAAAGCGCGATATTCGTACCCGGCACTCTTATTATTAACCCCTTGAATCCGCGAGTAAGGAGGAGAGGGTTACGCGGGACCAGATCAAATCGCGAGAACCGGCCGTGTTGACGCTCAGTATCCTTTTCTACGTCGTCGGATCGAATTGGCTTCCTGGAATCGCTTATTGACGACAGTCGTACGCGATTATCACAACGTGTACTTTCCACGTGACGTTTCAACTCGTCCGTCCGATGTTGATGTCCGACGTTTTCCTTCTGACATTCTTTTCCGATGAACATATTCTCTCTAGATAGAGAGAACATTATTCTTAATATCTTGAGAACATCCTCTTAAGACAATGTCTTCTTTAAGGAATCAAGCAGGCTATGTTTCAAAGTATCACGCGCGCACATACATAATGATACATCTATAATATATATAACCAGATATAAATTTGAAAAAATATATCTTATACTGAAAAAACGAACGATTAGGCGTTATTTTCGCATGTCCGCAGTATCGATATATCTCTTAGGTCAATTCCGCAATAATAAGAGAAATCTTATCTCTAGCAGCATGTAGTAGTTTACAATAATGTAAGAAAATCGTCTGAGCAAAGTACTTAGTGCTAATTTTTAGAATTTTCAAGAAATTCTAAGGATATCCTAAAACAATTACAGTATAATCTCTTATGGATATTTAATGAAGATTCTTTTGATTTATCCCTCGTTTCTTTGCTTGATTATACCTAGACAATTGCAGGTATCTGAAGGTTTGAAGACGCAGCCACCAGATATATCTTCGGGATCATTATTCGCCGGACTTCGTAAGGATAATAATCGTAAGATCATCGTCGTCGTCGTGTAAAACCGTCATATCTTTTTCGTTAACATCATTTCACCAACTCCAGATTTCCCAATGATTCAACAGCTCTCGTAACTTTGATGACCCTCGGTGTCATCATCGAGTCGCGTGTCGAGGGTTATCGCCCGCGTATTTGTGTGCAATCATGCTTTCTCGCTTCTCGTCATGCCGCTTTATCAAAAGAAGGCGGAAGTTAGCAGGAGCGAGGAATCTACGATGCGCATGCGGGGTGTCTCGAATTATTTGAACTGAAACATTCGTCGCAAATCAGTCAAGAAATCTGTCGACGAAATTAATTCCCGCTACATATATATGTACGATATAAAAATCGAAGTAATCACAAGGTTGCAAGCGCGGGACGTAATCCGTACGTGTGTACAAAGATAAACGCACGCGCGGTCACAGTTGAGTTAACCTCCAACTTATCCTCTGTTGTATTAATTATCTTACGAATACTTACATTTTCCTACTTTTAGATTCCTCGAAATACGATAAGGAATTGTGACATCCTATTTGTATAAGGATATAAAGTGACAATTTTATCCGGAAATTTCGACGAGCTCATTTCTTTGAATCGCTCTCGTAAAAATGGCTACCGTACCGAATTCAATTAATCTGTTTTACCTGTTGTCGTTTATGTCGCGATCAATATGTTCGACTCGAACGTTGGTACTTGCGACATTGCAAAATACACACTCCGAAATTGCGGAAGATTCGCTTTACTGCACTTGTCGCCCGCTGAATATCCAATAAAAGAACTCAAATTCTAGGCGTCTAGATAGCGATATATTTTTATCCTTAGAAAGCAAACTATTGTCTTGCTTCTATTGGACGTTAGATGTCGTACACATCGATGACACTGGACGTCTTGTGGATCTCCCATTAGTCAAGTCGATTGTTGTCCTCATGCGTTGTCTTGGGGTGGAAAGTGGTGAACGGCAGCAGTGAAAGCGGGTGTTCGCGAGCGTTCCTGTTGTCGATGTCAAGTTAAAAACTCAATCGGACAGGATGTCGTTTCTTCGTGGCTCCGCCAACTACGTGTGGTGCACCACCAGCGTGCTTGGCAAGGGTGCGACCGGCGCGGTGTTCCAAGGTGTCAACAAGAACAACGGCGAGCCCGTAGCTGTCAAGACGTTCAATCAGCTCAGCCACATGCGACCGCACGACGTGCAAATGCGAGAGTTCGAGGTACTGAAGAAGGTCAAGCACGAGAACATCGTGAAGCTGTTGGCGATCGAAGAGGAACAGGATGGTCGAGGCAAAGTGATCGTCATGGAGCTCTGTACTGGTGGTAGCCTCTTCAACATCCTCGACGATCCCGAGAATACGTATGGCTTGGCGGAAAGTGAGTTCCTGTTGGTGCTGGAACATCTGTCGGCTGGTATGAAGCATTTACGTGACAACAATCTGGTTCATCGAGACTTAAAGCCAGGTAAGAGATAAATAAGCAGTCTAGTTGTTTATTCTCTTAAAACATGTCTATGTAAGTGTTGTTTTTCTTGGGCCTTTAGAACTATTGTCTAAGTATGCTTGGCTATTTCTTTAAAATGGGTCAATATAGAGATCTAAGTTAATAAATCTTGAAAATATAGATTGTTATATACTTTTCATATTTACATAGTTTTTGACATAGAACTTTATCTACTTATATTTTTATGCTGCTTTTTGTGGGACTTCTCTCATATTACAAATTTAGATAAAAGAGCTTTTGTAAGCTTTATATACTTATTGTCTCTCTGATATCTCTTCAAGCTTTACAACTCTCTTAATGAAATTTCAATATTGATTAATGTTCTTAATTTAATGCAGTATAATAAGAAATATATTTGGATTTAAGGTTCCTGATTCCATTGCTGTGAAACCTTGTATTAATGACATCAGAAGTGAGAAAAGGCATGCCATTTTCAAATAAAAGGATATTTATATAAAATATATAAAGATATTTGTATGAAAGATGTTTTTTGCCCCTAACATCGTCAATCCAGGATTGTGCAATAGTGGGACAAAGAATCTTAATATATTCTTACCTTGATATCAAGGAGAATGTATATGTAGACCTTTGTCAAGAGATGTTTATTGCAACTTCTTTTTTTGTAGGTAATATAATGAAATTCATCGCTGATGATGGCAGCACAGTATACAAGCTCACTGATTTCGGGGCTGCTCGGGAATTACAGGAGGACCAGCAGTTTGTTTCTCTATATGGCACCGAAGAATACCTCCACCCGGATATGTACGAACGCGCGGTCTTGAGGAAGCCTGTTAGCAAAACGTTTGGCGCGACCGTGGATCTGTGGTCCATAGGAGTAACTCTCTATCACGTTGCCACGGGAAACCTGCCGTTCCGACCGTTTGGCGGACGAAGGAACAAAGAGACCATGTTCTACATTACCACGAAGAAAATGTCAGGCATGATATCCGGACTGCAGACTTCGGAGAACGGACCGATTGAGTGGAGCAGGGAACTGCCGCAAAACTGCCAGCTAAGCGTGGGCTTAAAAAAGATAGTGACACCGTTATTAGCCGGTTTGCTGGAGGTGGATCCGCAGAGGATCTGGAGTTTCGAGCGGTTCTTCAGCGAAGTTACCGACACGCTGTGCAGAAAGCCCATTCATATATTTAATGTGCACAAAGCCAGCCTCATCAAGGTCTTTCTGCATCCGGAGGAGAAGCTGGTTGCTTTGCAGATACATATTCAAGATCAAACCGACATCATGCCTCACGCGCAGATTCTGCTTCTCGGTGAGTTTCCGCTCATAGGCCTTGTCGAGGAGTCTACGCCGGGCAAAGGTTATCCCAATACCAGTAACGATAAGCCACTGATGCTGTTCTCGCGGGAGAATAATAACGTACTGTTGCCGGTGGAGAGCGAGTTACCTAAGTTCCCTGTCTTCGCTAATCTCGTCTCTGTGGAGAACGATGCGAGCCAAGCCAAAGTCGCATGTTCTGTCGGGCATGTCTGTAAACGAAGAATCGATAAATTGGCGTTGTGCAGCAAATTATTGCGCGATGCGATAGAAGCATTCAGTGGGCTCTTGTCCATGGAACTTACCCGAGTGTTGGGGAAATGCCAACATTGCAGAGAGTTCACTAAAGCCATCGAGGACACCGTGTTGGCGATCGAGAGAAGTGAAAATTTTGCCCGACAAACTTTTCGCAAGTTCGGCAGCCAGAGCGCGGTGGAGATCAAGAACTGGCGAAAAGATCTGGACGCAAAAAGTAAGGAACTCACGACTGAACTGACGCCGGCGATAGTGCAGCTTCATCAAAGGTAAATCGCATTTGATTAAACTATTACAATTAAATTATTACATTTGATTAAACTAACCAACTTGATCAACTTCACTAAGTTATATAAATGGCGTAAATACAATCGTGCGTAGGTACGTGAAAGAAGGTAGTCTGCGTGGAGAATGGGACAATAGTACTCGCGATCTGTGGTGTCCATGGGCCACAAAAGCGAGCCAACGGGCGGCGACGTTGGTTGATCGTTTGAGGGATGGTTGGCAACATTTGCTGAGAGACCGTGCCACTCGTAGTCTAACTTACAACGACGAGCAGTTCCATGTTCTCGAGCGTATAAAGGTACATAGGTTTATGTTATTCTAACACGTCATCGTAGTGATGTCGAATTATGACAATTTGAAGAAAATAGAAATTGTATAAATTATTTCTTATATCTTATACGTTGTAACTTATCATTTCTTTCGTCACGATATAATATTCCAAAGAACATTAAGACATCTTTCAAGATACGCGTGGTATACAGTTACAATATACTGTATTACAATGACGAACTAATAAAAAAATCTTAAAAATAATGAATGCTTCATTTCATTAAAATACTGTGATTTCGCTGGACGAGCAGGTGACAGAAACTGGACGCAGATTGAAAGCGCTCCTGGAGACGGAATGTGTACCAGCCATGACGCAGCGATCCGAGTGCGTCGCGGATTGGTATAAGATGGCGCAGACAGTATACCTGCAGACACAGATATTGGATAAGGATATAGACAGCTATGAGCACGCCTTGGAATCGTTCTCGTATCGCTTGTCGCAGGAGAGCAAGGAACGCAATGAAAGTCTTCTGCATTCGTTGGATAGACTGCCGAGCAAGCTGAAGACAATCGAGAAGACGAGCGTGCCGGCTCAAGAGAACACAAAGAAATGGCGCAATATCTGCGACACGCAAGAACAAATTACAGTAATACTTTATGAAAACGGTCGGCTCATAGATCAGCTTGACCATTTGTCGGCGATTGATAGATTGGAAGATATAGGTGATTCGGAATATGAACTCTAATACGGGCAATCTTGTCATTTCTCCATCAATCTCGACAGTACTTAAATGAGATGAAGACTGGAAATTAGAGTATAATTTTAGAAGTACGACGTACATATACAGTTAATGTACAGACCTAAGGATAATGTAAAAAAAAATAAAATGTCTTATTGTTACTTTGACTAAATAAACTAAAAGTTTACTTTAAAATCAACTTATGATCATTTATTTTCGTTGCAACATGAGGATGATTGCAGCGTAATAAATAATTATAGCTTATCATACTAAGCTATAATACAACGAAGCTAAACGCAAAGATGTATACAGTTTTCTTGTATGATTATGCGGATTCACGGTATAAAACTAGCAAATTAGGTATATTTTTTACGTACATAAAATCGCTACGTGCGAGTTCTTCGCGCGATTCATGCGTCTATATGAATATTTCTCTCGACTAGGGCGTTTAACCTTTGCTTGCGCTTCTGTTCTTTGTGCTGTTCTTGAACCACGTGAAAGTGTTTCAATAGTTTGCCGAAGTCGAACTTGCAGTGGGCGTCCACTGTTTTCTGTTGCAATTGCTCACTCTTGAGCGGTTGCATCCACTTTTGCTCACTCTTCGGTGGTTTTGTGGCCGGCGGTATTGCCGCTAAACGACGCTGGAGAGTCGCGTAAGCTTCACTCTGCGGCAATATCATCAGCAAACCATATAATGCGTATATCAGGGCGTCATTCTCCTCCCATTCCAAGAGCTGCAATCTCAAGTCTTCAAAAAGAAATATCACAGTTAGTATCTTTCGTCAGTTGGTAAAGTTAAATATATGAAACATCATGTCTCACAACATTAGTGAAACGGCAATTATCGTTAAATCACAAAATAACTGTTGACATATCGTCTCGTTTAAACATTAATAGATGCCATAAGTATGCTTACAAGTAAATATTGGCGATTCTATTAGTTGCACCAACTTGTCTATTTCCGTAAGAAATTCCACTGTGACCTCGATATTCTCACTAATGTAATTAGATATTACGTTAAGGTTCTCATCACTGTTGCAAAATATTCATCAAAATAGTAAGGATGCATAAAAGAATAAACAGAATAAAGGATACAAAGAGCGAATGATGTTGCACGCATGTCGATAATGCTGAGACAAAAGACACAGGGCTACTGTCGCGACTGGATTATGACACCAGGATACATACAGGCATTCGAATAGCGCGCAACTATCCTAGAAACATAAATTCCAATAAACAATCTAATAAAATTTCACGTGGGTGCTGATTAAGTGACGTGATGGACTTACTGGAGAGTCCAAATGTCTAAGTTTGTTGCGCAAGTCGAAGAGCTCGGAGCTGGTTAATAAGATCACGTTCAGCGTCTGTATCATCGTACACGCGAAGCTCAAATTTTGTTCTTCTAACAAGATTTTTGCCAGAGTCTTGTATATATCCTCCGCGCTCAAGAGTATGCACAATTCTCTTATGATAAAAGCACCTCGTTCCTCTAACAAGTGTCTGTCGGTCGAGAAGAGCCTCAACAAATTGACTATGAACTTTGTAAAGTATTTATTCTGCATCTTCGCATTTGGTTCGGTCGTTGCAGCCTCTGGAGACTTCGAGCTGATAATTTCAGCCATTACCACTAAAGTTTGTTGCACCACTTCGTCAGAGGCATCGCTTAAAGATTTCATTAGCATTGGAAACAAGTCTTCTATGTGGTTAAACATCTTATGTGGAATGTTTATAAACAAATGATGTATCCACTTTAAAACTGCAACTTTGGTCTGGACAGATATGTACAACAAATGTTTTGTAAGTACTTCTACGACACTGGCGAGGTTCAAGCTTTCAGCTAAAGGACAGCTCATATCTGAAAATAAAGGAGAATTATTATTATGACAAGGTAAAATTCTTCTAGGCTATAAGCAATAACAATCGTTTAATCATTTCCTTTTTATGAACTTTTAAACTATTTTATTGTTGAGAACTTAAAAGTGCTATTTGGAATTTTGAATTCTTAAAAATCTTTTAGATTTAACAGACCTAAACGAATTTCAAATTTCTTAAGAATCACGAAAATTTTCAATATTAAAAGTTTGGACGAAATAATATATTAGGTAATTATATCAACTTAAGTAAATACAATACTATTTTTTTTAATATTACAAATTATAATGCGTCTTTAAACTTTTACAAACCTTTTAATTTCTAACAAACTAATGTTTTAAATCTTTTGAAATTGCCAAGATTTCAAGACTTTAACATCTTCCAAAGTCCTCTAAAAAATTTCTGATTCCATGTAACAGCCGAAATAATTCAAAACTCGTCACTGGAAATAGATAATAAACAATACAAATGTTTACCTTCCTTCTCCTTTGTAGGATCTTTATTATTGGTCTCTTTTTTATTATCCTTCGTGATCTCCGTGTTTTCCATGATTATCAATCTCATTAGATTCGTGTTTACTTGCGTTGCAGTTTCCTTAATACTCTTCCGCGTATCACCATCGTAGGCCAAGCATGGTAGAACGGCTACGAGAATGCCGGACATGTACGGGAGCATAAGAGGCCCGGACAGCTGCACGAATTCTTTTATCCAAGTAATCGCCGTCAACTGAAGCAACTCGTCCGTACTCTGGGCGTGCATGATCAGTATATTTATCATGGCCGGGAAGTCCACTCTCGTGGGATTTGACTTTATGCTACGCAGAAATTCACCGAGCACCGTATCTGTGATCTTCTTGATCTCTGGCATGGGATCCTCCAGTATCCTGAACAGCCCATCAAGTATCTCCGGTAAGAATAAGATGAAGTCCATGTTGGGCACTGCTGCTAGCACGGAAACCCACGCTATCACGAACTGCCGACCGAACGGGTTCTTCGTATAGATGCGTTCGCGTAACAGAGGCATGAAACCAACTAAATCGAAAAGGCCACTCTCTGTCACGATGTCCTGAAACAAAATATATAGAAGAGTATTGACATTCAACCTAATAAGTATGTTGTCAGATTTATAGTTGATCAGAATACTCTTGTGGCAGATCCATAGCCATTTATATCTGCATTAAATTCATATTCTGTTGACAGAACCTGCTAACATAACTTGACAACAGATTTGCGACAGAAACCAGGATCTACAATATATTCCATTTAAATATACTTAAATGATTACAGAATGACAGATTCTGCCATCAATTTGCCATCATATTTTATTAGATTTTATTTTATTTCTGTTAATAAGTTGCAGACAAAATTTATAGTAGACATAAAATCTGTTTCTGTAGCTGGCTAGCTGAGTAATAAGTGAAAAAATACAATTACCTTCATCAATCTGTCAAGCAATTCGGTAGCGTTCTTTATATTCTGCTCAGAGTCGCACGCGAGTTTACTTAGGGCGGCGAAGATATCCGTGAACTGAGGCAACACCGCACCTCTGGCCACTTTGACGACATTGTACAGACTCTCGCAGGCATAATAACGTACTCTCAGATCAGCGTCGCAGAAGCACGCCAGGATCGGATGGATCAGGTCCTCTATGTACTGGCCGGTGTCTTTTCCGAGACCGACGGCGATTGCCGCCAGACCTATCAACCCGCCTTTGCGCGTATGCGGGTTCTGCGAGGTCGCAAAGTCCTGTCCGAGCACCTTCAGCAACCTCTTGATCTGCACGGTGTTGTTGTGAGCGGCGAATTCCTTCACCATCCTACAAGAAAGAAATCGTCCGAAGAAATCGTCAGAAGAAATCATCCTTCTGACATATCTGTAAGGAACCAATTTCCGAAAGTAAACAGTGACTAAAGATAACCTCACTTTTCGATTTCGACGGCGGCTGGCTTCCGTTTCTCGTACAATTTGTCATTGAGAGAACGCACGCACGCCGCGCTGAGGGGCGCGTAATCCCTTTCGGACATCATTCTGCGCGCCAATTTATCCCGATCAATTCCTAATTCATGGGTAAAACGTCAAAATACGTCGGACTGCTGTCAAAATCGCGACTCGGGCGCGTGCGGACAGTGGGCGGGATCGGAAATGTTCGGCAATCATCGGCGCGTATGTGTGCTGCATTGCCGACGATACTTCAAGCTTGGGGCCGATTGTTTCAACTTGATAAGCTATTTAACAGTTAAATGTCTTTGTTTTTTTCTTCAAAATAAACAAAGCAAACATATGATTTAACTATTCGATAGCTTATCGAGAAGTTGAAACAATCGACCCTTAACAAAGTATGTTTAACTCACTCTAACTTATTATACAGTTCAGAAAGTTCAGCTTAAAAGAACAGACTTAGAACTGTCAATTCTCACCAGCACTATGATACACTTTCTGTACTCAGGACGAAACAAGCGTGATGGAAAAAGGAGGAAACTTCTCTGCAATATTTTCTTTGTTCTCTCTGATAAATCTCCAATATACATTAACTTCAACTTGAGTACAGGAAATATAATAGTGTAGCTAAAACATTCTACACATTCTAAGATGCATATTCTAAATTTCACTGCATTTTTTACTTTAATTAGTAGAGATTAATAAGTGATACATGATAAAACTGCGTATCTTATTATAGATACTTTAAAATGTATGTACTTTACATTCATATAAAATTTACATTTAGTAGATATAATTAACGTTAATGTATTATGTTCAGGTTACACACTTTACATCTTGTATAATATTTAAACCTTGACAAAAATATACTGCATACATTCCATAAAGAAAATATAAATCGTCTCGTACAAACATCCTTCATTAAATACGCTATGCAGCGAGTTTTTGTCAAGAACTTGATATATCGTAGAGTTACACATTAAGATGGAAAATTTCTTCTAGAAAAGATAACACACGATTTATTTTCGTTCGCTGTACAAAGTAACGTGGATCACGCGTAAATTATGAATAACGATTGTGGTCGATATACGAAGTACCATCTTAGAAGCGTACAAATGGAAGTTGGAGACACGCGGGTCGTTCTAGTCGCATGCATAGATCGGAATGTTAACTCTAATTTATGCATGCTAATCTCGCTAATATACACCGTTCTTTTGTACGTAGAGTTTACAAATATAAAAAGAGGATATCTAAAAGTGAGAATTTATTATATGGCAGTTGAATGATTACATTGCTGATTTGTGTGAAAATTATACATGAAAAATTTTAGGATTTCCAAATGATAAAATGATGAGAGAAAGCTGTCTACTTATGTAATTTACGATACCCTTTTGTCTTCTCTCAGCAGTAATGTAAGCTCTTTTCTCATGATTTGCAAACGATTGACAGATGTTAAAAAAATCTATCGATGCTTATAGTAAACAATTGAGACAACCGAAGACTTTGAGCAATGCCATAACGCATTTTTGTATATAAAAAGAATCATATTAAACGTTTAAAAGACAATTTCAGTAAACATAAAAAAAACAGTGATAATAAAATTCTAATGTCACAATAAATATAAATATATGCATTATGGGAAAGAGCAAAGTCTTTGATTTTCCTGATTTTCAGAGTTGATTAGAGGTAAACAAAAAAAATAAATCATATTTTCTGAATTAAAAGTAAACACTGGAACGATAATTTTTATTTAGTCCATTTGTCCACTTTTACTGGATCTCAACACGAACCTCCTGTTTGCTGTTGATATACCTCTATTGTATCTCCTTCCTCCATCTCTAATGTTGTTGGTGTGTCTAATTCATTAATGGGCTGTCCATCAAATCTAAATCTGACTGCTGCTATTGCCAGACCCTGTGTGATTTAACATTAATTATAACATTAATTATAACATATTATTCACTTCACAATTAGTACAAATTTGCAACATAGTGCATCGGCAACTATATATTGAAGAGTAACAAGAACTATTTTACTGATGTTTGCATTATACAATGTCTGCATTGAGTACAGCTGTTTACTGAATGTTGTAAACTTTTGAATCAAGTTGATATTTTTAGATTTTATCAAGACACACATTGTACCACAGGTACAAACTCAATCAGATTAATTCCAAAAGCTCATTGGCTTGGTTTACATCGTACACTTGATACATGTACTAAATAGTAACTTTCTATTAGATAATCTTAATATCAACGATATATATAAACAATGGTATATTAAGCTGGTATAATCAATAAAACTTACCAACAAAACGTATTATAATGATTGAATGCGTCGCCGTTGATATGCATTGTCGATATTGAGATTATCTAATAGAAAGTTACTATTTAGTACACATATCAAGTGCATGATGTAAACCAAGCCATTGAGTGATTAAGTGGTGTTTATACTAAATGCAATCAATGGAAACATTCAGTATAATTCTCAACGAAGGTATATATGTAAGTGTTCATGTAACGTTACTTACTACACGATCGCAATATGCATTCATCAATTTGCGGAGGGGTGTGTGTTTCTTAATTTTAAACTGGACTACCGCGTTGTCCTGCCCCAGCACTTTTAGGTTTATGTGCTCCGATTCTGTTTTCGTTTCCTGTTATCAACAAAGAATGATTGTAGTAAGACGCGCGAAAGCGGCTTCGGCCCGCGCTACATCGTAAATAACCGTCTGATACATTGTATTAGGTTAGGTTAGGAAGCGTTACCTTCTTCTCGTCCGACATGATGCTACGGTTCGCACAATGCCGATGACAAATATACACTCAAATTCACCAAGCAGCACGATGTCCACGATTTCAGCAAGACGGCCGATCCGTTCGCACTTATTATGCCGTGACAACTCTTAAAATAACACTTGCCGAAAAATCCCGCTTCTCAAAACGGCGATCACGACGTTGCCGTCTTGCACGAACGACGTGATGTGTAGAGGTCAACCGCAATTGAAAATCACAAAATGAAATCACTGCCTGGGGGTTGATTGAGGGTGCTTTCCAGTAGCGTACACTGTGTTACACAAAACCAGTTTATTGGTTGCATATTATCTTACAAGATATTTTAGATAATATGTGACCAATAAACTGGTTTTGTGTACGTGTGTGTCAAGATGTGTTAAGCAGTTGGAAAGCACCCTGCGTATCTCAAAACGGAGTGAAAAGAGAGCGTCCCGATTGACCACGATTGGACACAAGCGATGCAAAGAATTATCTAATGAATTACCAAGTCGAACCAATGGCTGCGTTCAGGGGGTCGATTGTGTATCTCGAAACGAAGTGGAAATTACAAAAGTCAGCAAATTCACTAGGCATTGACCAATGAAGTTACAAATATTCTAGTAAATTTGCTCACTTTTGTCATTTTCACTCTGTTTTGAGATACACAATCGACCCCCAGAAAACATAGCTGATCAGTGAGCGGTCAGTGATTATTGGTCCTTATGGCTCCTGTACACAGCACGCGGTAAACGTTGCCGCGTTCTGTGTGCAGAAGCCATAACTTTTCCGTTATCGCATCACTTCACAGTACAGAAACAGAAAATAGACACCTAGTTTACATTAAAAGTCACATTGAAAAGCATTCGGAAATACTCGACACACGAAGGTACACGGTACCTCCACTACTTTCCCACTGAAATCACGAAAACACACGAGAGAGTGATGTTTTTGAACGCAGCCTAAATGTTGTTAGAGAGCCTAAAATCAGAGAGTTGTCAAATC